GGTACAATGACATGACATGATAATGACACGGTGTGATGACACGGTGTAGAAACGGTACAATGACACGACATGATAATGCCATGGTGTGATGACATGGTGTAGAAACGGTACAATGACACGACATGATAATGCCATGGTGTGATGACATGGTGTAGAAACGGTACAATGACACGACATGATAATGCCATGGTGTGATGACATGGTGTAGAAACGGTACAATGACATGACGCGATGACACGATGTGATGACACGGCGTAGGAACGGTACAATGACACGACGCGATAATGCCACGACGCGATGACACGATGTGATGACATGGTGTAGAAACGGTACAATGACATGACATGATAATGACACGGTGTGATGACACGATGTGATGACATGGTGTAGAAACGGTACAATGACACGACGCGATGACACGATGTGATGACACGGCGTAGGAACGGTACAATGACACGACGCGATGACACGATGTGATGACACGGCGTAGGAACGGTACAATGACACGACGCGATAATGCCACGATGTGATGACACGGTGTAGAAACGGTACAATGACACGACGCGATGACACGATGTGATGACACGGCGTAGGAACGGTACAATGACACGACGCGATAATGCCACGATGTGATGACATGGTGTAGAAACGGTAGAATGACACAACGCGATAATGCCACGATGTGATGACACGGTGTAGAAACGGTACAATGACACGACGCGCTGACACGATGTGATGACATGGTGTAGGAACGGTACAATGACACGACGCGATAATGTCACGACGCGATGACACGATGATGACGACCAGAATTTCACAAAGGTACCAACTGGTAACCGCTATGGCTGCCCTCCTTACTCGCTGTGATGCCCCTGCAAATTTGACGATGTCCACGACAATAAACACCCTGGGCCATAATAAAAATATTGTATTATTTGCCAAAAAGGAGCTGACTCAAAAATTGTTGTCGATCTTTCCCATTTTTTCTTTTTTTTTACAAATTGTATCACTGTACATTACATAAATCTGTAGGCAATACATTATATGTACCAAGCAAAACAAACATTCAACATTCACCCCCGAGCATGTAGACGCCATGCTGAATTTGTAAAAAAAGCCTACCTACCTACCCAAACTTTTCAGCCTGGGTGCAGTATAATGAAAAGTAGACCCTCACCTTCAGCAGAGCAATCTTCTTTCTCTCAAACTGATCGAGCTGTTCTTCCAAGGCTTTACCGGACCGCGACGCGTCCACGCTGGCCCGCATCAGCTCTGTCTCCGCCTGTATGTCAATAACGCAGATACAAATATATACACACACATACGTAACATCGCGAGTTCGTACGTATAAATTAGGGGTTATGTAAAAATTATGTATCTTATAATTATTTTGCGTGCAACAGGCTATAATTATGCCACATGCGTCGGTGCAGTGTGAGAGCGAGTGTGTGTGTGTGCGTACACGCATGCGTGCATGCATGCGTGCATGCATGCGTGTGTGACTGCGTGCGTGTTGGTATAAATTCACAACCAGCCAGCCAACCTTCCTAACAGTTCGAACAGCTGCACATGCAAACACTCTAGGGATATGAATAGGAATGAACACTCCGATCGTTCTCTTCAGAGATTTTCGCTATGCAGCTACATGCACGACAGAAACGGAATTGATGGCCGTAATAGTTGTGATAAAAACTATACTGTTTGTTATGGAGCACACATGTGATGCATGTGGTGTCAGGGTTGATAGCTATACATGCAGTGGCCTAGCCAGGATTTTTTAACAGGGGGGGGGGGCCAAAAACAGCAAACTGCGCAAAATAGTGGATGACCTAATATTTTAATGGTCCTCCGCCTCCCTCTTCACACCCTACGCTCCCTCACCTCTCAGCAATCTTTGTTTTGGGCGCCATGCAAAAAGGCAAAATTTTTGTTCGTTGTTCTCTGCTCCCAAGCTTTGTAAACTGTTCAGTGGCGGATCCAGGATTCCAAGTAGGGGGGTGAAGACAGGTGGGGGGTCTGGGGATCCTCCCACAGAAAATTTTGAAAATGTAGATCGCAGGAGATGGTATTTGAGGCACGTTTGAGTACATGTACAGCCTTCATTCTGACTACGACAATTCTCTTTTTAGTAGAACAATTCTTTTATTTTTTATTTTTTTAACTTTTGGATCAACAGTGGGGCCATGGCCCCCTTTGGCCCCCCCTAACTACGCCACTGTATACACGTGCGCGTGCGATGTGAACAGACATGTGAGATCTGGTGCCGGTCGCTAGGGTGACGTTCCTTCACGCGCTCCAGCTGCTGCTGTCGACTCTGCTCGCGATCGTGAGCCTGTAGGGTGCGCTTCAGGTCATAGCATTAGCAACAGTTTCGATGTCAGTTCTTGTATTGGGCGAGTCGGGTTAAGTTTCTCGACTTTGCCACTAGATGGCAGCATCTGATGTGAGGGTGACGTTTCTCGACTTTGCCTGCCACATGATCTGTAGCATCTGACATGAGGGTGAAGTTTCTCGAA